CCCATTCCAGACTAATTCCAGCCATAAACACCCAAACTTCATTTTCTTCATTTCACCACCGACCTCTGGTTTCTCCTGAGCAGAGAAAACTCCATTTGCAATTATCCTTGGGAACGAGCCAGGCTGTTCCAGGGCTGCCCTTGGATACCATCAGACTATAAATGCAAGCTCTGAAGTGCTCAGAACCTGCTACTTCCACGCTTCACATACACAGGAACACCAGAAAACATACAAAAAAACACCAAAAAATCAAAAATAAAATAACCCCAAAAAAATCCCAGGGATGGCAATCTCCCCTTCCCTGAGGGTTTCTGAGAGCTCTCAGCATTCAGGTTTTTCCTGAATGAAAAACCTGAGGAGAAATTCCTGCTATTTCTCCTCTCCCAGGCTGATATTTCACCCCACACAGATTGCTGTCTGTACCTTGGCAGGAAGGTCCTCTCCCTGAACTGCCCCTGGAGAAACTGGCTCAGAAATGCCCATCAGAGGAGCTCCTTGTTATTTAAACAATTATTATGAAGCATCTCATGGAAAAGGTCTGTTTAATGCTGACAGCCCCTGCGGCTGATGGCTCCAATGAAGGATTTCAGCATGAGCTGCATGCTGTAAAATCCATGGCATGGCTGGGTTGGAAGGGACTCCAGTTCCCAGAATTCAAATCTCATTTTCTGGGGGTATTTGATCCCAGCAAGGGCCAGCTAAACAATGCAATTTGGTCCAAAGCCTGGGGATGCAGCATGGAAAATACAACAGCAGCTGATTTACTCCTCAGCCTCAGAAATGTTTTCACTCCGAACCTGGCAGACAAATGGAGAGCTCAGCCCAGGATCTCCAGCAGAGCTGTAGAAACAATTGATTTTCCAGTTCAGTAGCCAAATTGGAAAAGTAAATAGTTTGAAATTACCCAGAATGGGGCTTTTTGTTGGTTTTCTTGTTGAATTGAAACATGGGCTGAGGACTGCAGCTTCCCCAGCAGCCTGGGCAGGGGATTTCCAGCAAACACAGGGATTGAGCACCCCGATCCCTCAATAAAAGTGTTCTTGTCACCACCCTGAGCCTTGTGGGAGGAGAGTGGGGGCCCTCTCCCTGCCCCTGTTCCCATGGGCTCCATCAGCTGAGAAAAGCCAGGGCCAGGTGCCCTCCCACCAGCCATCCCTCACAAATCAGGGGATGGAATTATTCCCACAGGAATTATTGCCAATTTAATTATTCCCACAGGAATTATTGCCA